GCCAAGTCGTCATCGTCAGTCTTAATTCTTTTTGTCACACTACTTTTTGTCATTTATGTTGAGATATTTTAAAATTGTTAAATAGAAAAAGTGAAATCTAATAAGTCACATTTCCCTTTTAGAAGTCTCTTTTTGGGGTTTATGTATTAGTTCCTTTTCTCTTTTTTTTTCCTCTTAAAAAATTTATGGGCTCTGTGCCTATAGCTCAGCAGCTAAGGTGCCAGCCACGTACACTGGGGCTGGCAGGTTCGAACCCAGGCCTGCCAAACAACAAAAACAACTATTAAAAAAAAAAAAAATAGCTGGGCGTTGTGGCAGACACCTGTAGTCCCAGCTACTTGGGTGGCTGAAGCAAGAGAATCACTCAAGCCCAAGAGTTTGAGGTTGCTGTGAGCTGTGATACGATAGCACTCTACCGAGGGTGACATAGTGAGGCTCTGTCTCAAAAAAGAAAAAAAAAATTATGGTTCATGTTTTGATTTGACAAAAGCACTTATGTTTCTTACAGTTGGAATAAATAAATAATTGGATTAAATATGAATTAAATATTTATCAAGTGCCTATGTTGTTCTAGGCTCTGTGCTGAGTGCTGGGGCTATTAAGACTAATAAGAGACTAGTACTCGTGCATGTTCTTAGACAAGTTAAAGAAGATATTAATACTATCCTTACAAGGATATGGATAAGGAGCTTATTCATATATGATAAGATACAGAAGGGTCATGCAAGAGAAGGTAGTCTGGGAATGAAAGGAATGAGGAGGTGACATTTTAACCAAGACTTAGAGAGTTAAATGTTGTTCATGTGACCTTGATAGGAAATAGGGTGGTATTCAGAGATAGAGAAGGGGCACTGTAAACAAAGACAAAGGGGGATATCAACCACCAATCAACAGCACATTTGTAAAATTTATTTAAGGATTAGAAAACCAATATTACAGTAATATTGAGATTAGAAAAGGGAAAAATTTCACTAATGATCCTATCACCTAACATAGCTAATTATTTGCTTTTACTTTTTTTTCACATTAACATTTTATATTGTCTTCATCAAAATGTAAATACAATTTTCTATGTTGGTTTTTCTGAGATATCTACTCTTTTTTTTGAGACAGAGTCTCACTAATGTCACTCTCAGTAGAGTGCTATGGCATCATAGTTCAGCAACCTCAAACTCTTGGGCTTAAATGATTCTCTTGCGTCAGCCTCCTGAGTAACTGGGACTACAGGCACCCACCACAAGGCCCTGCTATTTTTTGGTTGCAGTTGTTATTGTTTAGCAGGCCTGGACTGGGCTCAAACCGCCAGCTTTGAGATATCTGGCACCAAGCCGAGATACCTATTCTTATCCGTGTTATATATATGCCTATACTGTCAATATGAGGTGCATATCGATGTTTTGGCCAAAATGGACTGCATATATGACAGCCTATAAAACTTGAGTGGAGCTGAAAAATTTCTATTGCCTAGTGACGTTTTAGCTATTTATTGTATTATACTTTTTATCATTATTTTAGATTATACCCTGACTTATAAAAAAAAGTTAACTGTAACAGCTTCAGGTAGGTCCTTGAGGTATTTCAGAAGACACTGTTACCATAGGAGGTGACAGTTCCATGTATATTATTGCCCCTGAAGACCTTCCTGTGGGACAAGATGTGGTGAAAGATAGTGATATTAATGATCCTGATGCCACGTAGGCTTAGGCTCAGCTGTGTTTTTGTGTCTCAGGTTTGTTTTTTTTTTGTGAGACAGTCTCACTTTTTTGCCCTTGGTAGAGTGCCAGTGGCATCACAGCTCACAGTAACCTCAAACTCTTGGGCTTAAGCGATTCTCCTGCCTCAGGTGCCCGCCACAATGCCCGGCTATTTTATGGTTGTAGTTGTCGTTGTTTGGCAGTCCCGGGCTGGATTTGAACCCACCAGCTCTGGTGTGTGTGGCTGGCACCCTAGCTGGTGAGCTGCAGGCGCCAAGCCTTGTGTCTCAGTTTTTAACAAAAAAGTACGAAAGCAATTTTATTTTTATTTATTTGTTTTCTATTTTTTTAAATTTTTTCTATTCATATACATGTGTTTATTTGGTTTCCACTTTTTGCCTTCACAAAATTAAAAAGGCTTAAAATTTAATAACAATAACAATGTTTAAGATAAGGACTAGAAACAAAAACCTCGTAAAGAACGAATGAAGATAAATACATTCAGAAAATAAATCAGACAATTGCTGCAACCAGATATTGAGCAATAATAATAATAATAGGGCAGTGCCTGTGGCTCAGTGATTAGTGCGCCAGCCCCGTATTCGGAGGGTAGTGGATTCAAACCCGGCCCCAGCCAAACTGCAACAACAACAACAACAAAAATAAATCTTTACTTAAAAAAAAAAAAAATGCAAAAAAAGTAACATTCACGTCAGATAAGAGTATGTCTGAGGTTCAGTATATACAAAAACAATTTTAAAATAGAGAATAGCTTATAGAATAAGGATATAAAAAAAGATCCTTTGTACAGTTATATAATGTGTTTGTGGTTTTTTATTTCTAATTTTATTTAAAGAGGTGGGTCTTGCTATATTGCCCAGGCACAAAGTCCTCAGCTCAAGCATCCATTCCTGCCTCAACTTCCTGAATAGCTGGGATTGCAGACATGTGCCCATGTTTGTGTTTTAAGCTAAGCGTTAATGTTACAAAAGAGACAAAAAGTTTATAAAGTAAAAAAGTTATAGTAAGCTAAGTTAACATATTATTGAAGAAAAAATTTTTTATGAATGCAGTGTAACTTAAGTATATGGTGTTTACAAAATCTACTATAGTAATGTATATACCTCTGAGGACTTTATATTCACTCACCACTCACTGACTCACCCAGAGCAACTTCTTGTCCTGCATGCTCCATTTATAGTAAGTGCCCTATACATGTACCATTTTTTTGAGTTTGGGTCTTTCTCTGTCACCTGTAGTACAGTGGTGCAGTCATAGCTCACTGCCATCCTGAACTCCTGGGCTCAAGTGATCCTCCTGGCTCAGCCTTCCAAGTAGCTAGGACAATAGATTGGTGTCACCATGCCTAAGTTTTTTTTGTTTTGTTTTTACTTTTTGTAAAGACAGGGTCTTGTGTTGCTCAGGTTGGTCTCAGGACTGTTAGCCTCAAGTGATCCTCCAGTCTTGGGCTCTCAAAGTGCTAGGATTACAGGCATGTGAACCATAGCACTTGTCCAGGTGTACCATTTTTTATCTTTATATCTTTTTTTACTGTACCTTTTCTATATTTAGATGTTTAAATACACGAATACTTAACGATTGTGTTACAGTTGCCTACAGTATTTAATACAGTAACATATTATACAGGTTTGTAACCTAGGACCAGTAGTTGTTCTATATAGCTGAGGTGTGCAGTAGGCTATCCCATTTGTTTGTGTAAGCACATTTTATGATGTTTTCACAGAGGCAAAAATCACATAATGCATTTCTCAAACATATCCACATTGTTATATGATGCATGAATGTCTGTAGTTCAAAGTGTTAAAGAGTTTGAATAAGATTTGTTAAATGGAAAGCTGGGCCCTAATCTTCCTTGGCATTTTGTCTTCCTTAGAGATGACCACTTTATATTCTTTTAGTTGTTCTTTGTTATTTCATATTGATTTTTGACTTTTAGCATTGTTTGGCTTCCCACTTCTTTTTTTATTTTATTATTTTTTTAAAATTTATTTCAGGCTCCTTTATTCCATGAATATTTATAGAACATCAACTATTGGCAAAACATTGATATAATCATTGAAGATAATATTGGGACAAATATATCAATTTTATGAGGAAACAAAAACATTATCTACAAATCAATTATGAGATAAGCGTACTCATTACCACCACTCCTAGTAAAGTTGAAGATCCTAGCTAGTGCAATTATGATAACTTAAAAATCCCAATAGTCTGTAAAAAAAATACAAATTTCATTACTTCCAAGTTACTTGCAAGTTACCAAAAACAATAGAAAAATTCAGCAATATAGCTAACTTCAAAATAACTGTACAAAATCAATTATCTTCCTATATAAAAAAGAATTACAAAGTAATATTAGAAAAAGAAAGGTAGCATTGTATCAGCAACCAAAGCTATCAATATAGCTTTAACAAGAGCTGTGCAGTTTTTTTGGAATACATAATCATTTACTACTTGTTTGTTATAGAATACACAAGGCAAAATACAAATAGCAAACAAATTATTTTTTCCTTACTATGTTTTTACCAAAGTCTAAAGAAAAAAGACAACAAATACATATAAATAAAAGTAAAAAATAATTTCTTAAAAAAAAAAACAAATCACGCCAAGTCTTATAGACAGTAAAAATAGAAATACTACTTAATAATGTTCTACTTAGTCTTATTCTACTTAGTCTGGATACCCCTGATAGTAAAATTAGAAAAAATATATTATTATAAAGGGGAAATTACAGACATATTTCACTGATGAATAAGGATACAATATGTTGACTTCCCACTTCTTAGCCTGAGAATTTAGCTTTCTTTCCCCTTCTTCCCCCTTAGTTACTTCCCCTTCTCCTTTTCCTGTTACTTCATCTTACCCACATAGTTATACAGTAATTTTGGTTAGATAAATAAATGTTCAGGTTTACCTTATGTCCACATACATAGGATGCACAGCTGAAGTTACATAGTAAGCTTTGATTACTTTTCTGGTACAACTTTTATTTTCCTTGTAGCTAATAATTGTAGTTTTATTTATGTTTGCCTAGTATTCTAAATCCATATTAGTTATTCAAAACTAAAGTGTCACTAGCTTAAGCTGCCTCTTAATACTATCAGACAGTTTGTTCTAATGTTTCGACTGGTCTTTTTAATGCTTTCAAATTGGACTAGTTATTCTTTGAACCTGTATTGTAGTTATGTTCCTGTGAATTCCCTTACCTTTATCCTGGAGATTCTCCTATACTAGTCCTTTTATCTGTATATCATATCTTTTGCTTTCTCGATTTTTTTTTTTTTTAGTTCATGTCTCTTATTAATTCGTATATAATTACTTGTCTTCTGGTTTGTTGAAACAGTAAGTAAGACAACATTTGCCACAATAATGTCTATCAAAGTGGCTGGCCATAAAAACTCCAGCACCACACTCATCTGAAGGACACTCTTGATGAAGGTATTTTATTTTGCCATTCTCATTGACCTTATACTATTTCAGAACAGCCAGCTTAACCTTCTTTCTCTTATGCTTATTCTTCTTGGGAGTGGTATAAGACTTCTTCCTTTTCTTAGTACCACGATGAAGTCTTAACACAACATGAAGAGAGGACTCCTTTTGAATGTTGTAGTCAGACAAAGTACATCCATCTTCCAGTTGGTTGCCAGGAAAAATGAGTCTTTGCTGATCAGGAGGAATTCCTTCCTTATCCTGGATCTTGGCCTTCACATTTTCTATATTATCTGAGGGTTCAACCTTGAGAGTGATGGTTTTCCCCGTGAGGGTTTTCTTTGTTTTTTCTTTTTTTTTGAGACAGAGCCTCAAGCTGTCCCCCTGGGTAGAGTGCTGTGGCATCACAGCTCACAGAAACCTCCAACTCCTGGGCTCAAGTGAGTCTGCTGCCTCAGCCTCCCAAGTAGCTGGGACCACAGGCGCCCACCACAATGCCTGGCTATTTTTTGG